AAAATAAACACAAGTATGGAAATGAAAACTATTAGAATTGCTTGAATAAAAGTTGTACATTATCAAAAGGTTATTCTAGTAGCGATCGATTTACAAAAAAACCTAGTTCTACCGTTTGCATCGAATCAAATCGCAAAAAGTATAACAAAAAATAACAAAAGAAATTGAAGCTTTCTAGTAAGAGGATCAGAAGTATCGTTATTGGCCTCATTTTAATCGGTAGGGTTGAGAACAACTTCATATTCAACGACATCCTCTCCAACATCTTCAACGTAGCCTTCATTGTCTGAAATGTCTCGAATATGCATCAATTGACCATTATATAAGGTCATTTGAATGTCAAATTTGCCCTCGTTGAGAGGAATCCTGTAGAAGTAGGTCATCTAATCCACTTTAAGAATGTAAGTTTTTATTAGGTTAAATTTAATTAAAATTAAAACTTAATTTATATTTTAATTACTTGACTCAACCTATTGTCATCCCTAATTCACATTCTTCATTTATCATTTGACTTTTTTACCAAGAGTAATTAGTAAGTCACATGACTTAGGTGATCTATGTAATGAGATTAACCTCTAAGAGTTCATAAACCTTTTGATTGACTACATGTCAATATTCTTCTTTAAACTCTCTTTTTTCCCTTTCCTTTATCCTTAACTGTGGGTTTGTTTTGATATACCTAAAAGTTCTATATTAGTGAGGAGTTGAGGCTAAAGATTTATAAACACCCTCATCTTTTAATTCACTTAGACACTTTTTTAAAGTATTAGGAAGATTTTAAAAGGAAATTTAAATAGAGCCTCGAGACATTTTGTCATATCTAGCTAGATAATCTAACATATATTATCTAGCACAACAAAATAACACATCATATTTATAATAATATATCCACAACTTTTGGATTATAACCAATTCTCCCTTAAGTCAAAATATTATAGGTTTCATTAATCAAAGGTGGAATACAAATGAGTACGCAAGGCACTCCTAGCTACCATAAGTACATATATCACTCATCTTTATTCCTTTTTAATTTTCCTCTAAGGTCAAGACCTTAATTATTTTAATTGTCACTTTTGGATACACCACAAAGAATATTTTATTAAAGAAAGATTACTTTTAAGTGAAAGGATAAGTATGTGCCTTCTTCACAAGTGGATAACCTTACAAAGTAAATGAAACACATGTTTCTCACACTCCCACAACAAATTGACTACACATAAAGATTATCTATCAAAGTATTATCGTATACACCAAAGATTCATGATATTTCATCTTCTAGTTCTCTTGTTTATATTGATCTTGATGGAGATGGTTATTTGCTATGTAATCTTTAAGAAAAATAATTTTTATGTGCTTGATAGTGTAATTTTTAAAAATTTTTACATGTAGTCTTGATTTGATTTGGTCGAGATATAACATCTTGCTACAAAAGACAAATTTTCCTTTTAAGTATCCTTTATATAAAATAGAGCAGATATGATTGATAATTTTTTTTTTTAATTTTACATGAATTGTATTTTTCACCTTTAACTAATTTTATTTTTTATTTATAATGATTTCAAGTAAATAAATCCTTTTACCAAATACATTTCTTTCAATGGTATGGTTTATTGAATTATAAGTTACCTTTAATATGTGAAAGACGCACGACACTTATTTTGTGCATGCATTTATAATGAAGATACTTTTAATCTTCAATTTATAAATAATTTTCTTTTAGTTATAATAAATTGAACTTAATATACATATTCCTTAACTTTGTATTTGAAATTAATATGATAATTCTCTACTCTTTTGATCATAATTTTTTTATAAAGACATTATTTTTTATTATTCTAATTGTATTGGATTTTTTTTTCAGAACAAACATAATGCTGAATTTAGAGTTTTTTTTTTCTATTTTCTATTATATTTGTAAGTTAAGACAGATTTTTTGTATTTTATTTTATAGAAATCTATGGTTTATTTTTCTTTGTTTTAGTATGAACTTTTGTAATTGAGTTTATGATCTAATTATGACAAACAATTCAACTCATACATATAACTCACAAGGGAACTTATATATAGACTAAATGGGTTCTAATTAAATATAGGGAATTCATTTCTTTAATTTTTAGTTTTAGAAATTATTATTTCCTTTCCTTTTCTTTCAAATTTCATAATTCCGTTTTCATTTCCTTCTCTCTTCTTATATTATTTCTTCCTCATCTATGAAAAACTCATTATTGAGATTCATTTCACGAATTCAAAATCATACAATCCAAGTTTGATTTTGCATCAATTATTTAATGCTATGCCTTCTTCTAGCTTTAGAAATCAAATCAGGAATATATTGAATTTGATTTAATTAATTATTCAAACTTTAATGTATGAATCTTTAAAGAACTATATGTATCATTTGAGAAGTGATCTAGGTTTTGCTTCATATTACAATTTTTTTAAATTTATAAGCTTGACTATTTTTATACATGATAGCAACGTAGCTAAACAAACATAAGTTAGAATTGTTCATAATAATATATAATATACTTAATTCAATTACTTAGCTATATTTATAACCTAAAAAACTTTTTACTAAGAGGTGATATGGTGCTTTTAAATAAGTATTAGAATGTTCAAATAGTTAATATATATACTTTTAAACCTTAAGAATAAAATTGTAATAGATTTACTGAACTTCAAAATATAATATCTTAAATACTTAATTGACCACAATGATATCACTTTAACAAACTTTATATGAGAACACCATCACTGTTTGTGGAATAAAATGGAGAATTTCAAACAATTTTTACCTTTTAATCCTAAATTGAAAGACATGTTTGAAAATGGTTAAAAGGGCACATAATTCAAAAGTAGAAACTTAAACTAAACTATAAACACAATTTTCTTTTAATTAAAGTATCTTTTAAAAATAAAATAATAATATTAATTTATAAATAGTCTCGTATATTGCACGAATAAAATTACTAATAACTTTTAAAAGAAAGCATACAAATGTATGATTTTAGTCATACTATTTTTATGTCTAAAAATTTATTTTAGATTGGTAATAAATGAATCATCTACAGTATGTCGGTTAATTATATATTAATTATCATGGTCTAATACAACCTTTTATTTAGTAAGAATTTTGACTTTGCAGAATTCTTCTTTTGATTTTGAAATTTTCTCATAGATAAACTCAATTTAAATCTTTAAAGAATGTTAGGTAGAAAAGAATAGTAGTAGATGACAGCATAAGTAACACGTGTCACATGAACCACATGTCTAGTATTCATTGACTCATTACCATTTGATTCTGAAAAAAAATTAGCATTCCAAGACGTATAATTTTAATTTAATTTCACGAAAACTAGTAACTATAAAAAAATGTTATAGTAAATTTTTTAAAATATTAGAGTAAGTTATGTCTTTAAAAACATTAATTTTTAAATATAGTGAATACACAATCAATAATAATTAATAAGACTAATATAAAATCTTCTTTATAATCATAAACATTATCCTTGGTAAAGGTTTTGAGTCACTGTCTAGGAATAAATAAGGCCTATTGTCACAGCTTGAGAACAAATATCATATATATGATGATTATGATTTTCAAAAGTTTAATAAAACAAATTCATATATGCTAATAAATTTTCATCAAATTACATGGTGTTATATTAAAATGTAAGAATGTATAAATACTGTAAAATTATCAACATTTAATAATGTGTCAAAAAAAGAACAATAATGAAATTCTACATTCTTTAATCATGAACAATGTTGTCAACTAAAAAATATATCTGAGATTAAGGATGAAAATTGTTTCATGTTGGAGTTTTGTTTAGAATGAGGGGTCAAGATCCCTATATTTTTTTTTCACATATATAGATAAAATTAATTTTTTAAATTTTAATATATTTTATGTATGTAACACCATCAAATTTTTTATACATCTATTTTAATATTTCAAAAATATTTGATGAAAATACATTACTATGATCCATTAGTGATGATAAAATACACAACCATTCTCTTGTCATGTAGAAATACTATATTACCTTCACTTTATAAATGAATAAAGGATAGAGAACAATTTTGTAGTCTTTAATCACCAACAATACTACTGAAAAAAGCATCTAAAAAGTAAGACTCAAAGCATCACATCCCTTCATCTCCGTCTTTATAAAGAATTTTGTAAGATTTCACAACTTCATCGTCCCAATAAATTATACTATTATACAAATAATCATCACATTATATAAAAAGTTAGTAAAATAATAAAAATTAGAAACAATGTAAAATAAAATTAAAAAATTAAATTATTTTCTTACATAGTTTTTTAAGATGTTTATAAAATTAAATTTCATTCAAGAATATATATATTTTTTCAGAAAATATTTTTTTTCACATTAAAAATTATGTACGCATATACACACTATATATATATATATATATATATATATATATATATATATATATATTCCAATATAAAAAATGTTTCTTAGATCAAATCTCAATCTGAATGTAGATTATAATGCAACTGCAAAAGTTACAAATATTTAAATTATAAATAACTGATGTTATTAAAAAGATTAATAACTATAACTAACGGTAAAAATCAATAATACTTCATAATTTTACAGTTATTTTAAGAAAAATAATTAATATTCTACATAATTAAAGAAGGATTTAATAAAGAATTATAAAAGAAAAGAGGTAATTTGTTGAAAAGGTGCTATAAATAAAAATAAATAAAGTAATTTACATTTACATGAATGAATAAATATTTGTTTGAACAAGTTAATTCATTTACAGAGAAATACCTATTTTTTTATAAACTGAAATTAAAATATGTCTAAACTAATGTTCATTTTTTAAATATTATATTTTAGACTTATATTTAAATTAAGGTGGACCTCATTTAGTCTCAAAATTTACTCTAAGTATACATTTTAATTGTATTTAAAAACCTTAATTAACACAATTGAACTCAAAATGGATACTGCATTCTTATCAAAATTCGACCACACCCTGTTCTGACTCAGCCTACAGTCATTGGGGATGCAAATTGCGAGCATTAAAGAAGAGAGGAAGGAATTACGTGCATTGCATTCTCCCACTTAGAAATTTTGCAGCTTAAAAATCTTTTGCAACACAATAAATCGGAGAACATTTTTTCATACAGAGGAACCGAGCTTGATCTCAGTCTTTTCAAAAGGGATCAAAGGGAAGGTCCCAAATTTGCATACGCAACCTTTGGTTCCTCTCCCAAGGCAAACACAACATCATGGTAGCAGATTCTAAGTCCAAATCCGACCTCTCTTTCGGCAAAACCTTTGTCAGCAGTGCTTTCTCTGCATGTTTCGCTGAGGTCATAAGCAACACTCTATCTGGGTTTTCTCTTTTATCGTTTTTTGTTTCTGGGGATTTTTTGTTTGATGATCTTATGAAAGACAATACCTTTATGTTAATGGCATGCAGTAGTAGTAGCCATGGATCTGAATTGCATCCTCACTTTGGTGGATTTCTTATTACTGAGTGTTTTTTTTTCTTTTGTTGTGTAACAACTATTGTTGGTGATACACTATCATGCATGGATACTTCAATTTGTTTGAAGTGTCTGTGTTGAATATTTATGATACTTACAGATATTTATCAATCAAGGTAGCATCTAATTTATAGAGTAAATGCTTTTGTGAACTTGGAGTTCCAATTTTCAGTTTTCAATTTTGTGTCTACCAGTGTTAGTGTATATTAGGTGATGGTTTGACAAATACTTTTTGGATAATAGTGATTATGTGAAATTGGTTTTTGGTTAAATGTGAATTTGAAGGTATTATGTTTTTGAATTTTTCATCTAAAATAATTAAGCTTGAATTGTTAGTCAATGGTGATCCCTGTGGATTTTGGGGGTCGTGAAATGATAAAATGCATGCCTTCCAAAATGATAAATGCATGTCTTCCAAGGTGTTTGTTTTTCAAGAATCAAAGCCAATGTGAGCTGTTCCCTCTTTGATGTCTTGAATGTCTGACAAAATGTTAATATTTTTGCATTTGTTGAAGTTCACATGACAACAGTCTTGTTAACATATGTTCATTGTGGTCCTGAGTTGCTATCAGTAGAGATTGATTTGGCTTGTTGTATATACACGTGACACATGTTTTAGTATGATTTTTGCATTCTGTTCATTTCCTCCTCTCTCACTGCTTTGTAAAGTACTCAATTAATTGCAGTTATTTGCTTATATTTGTCAATAAACTCTGGTAATTGAAATAGGTGTGTACTATTCCCTTGGACACTGCCAAAGTTAGGCTTCAGCTTCAAAAACAAGCTGCAGCGGGTGATGTAATCTCCTTACCTAAATATAAGGGTATGCTGGGAACAGTTGGTACCATTGCAAGGGAAGAAGGTCTTTCAGCACTCTGGAAGGGGATTGTGCCAGGGTTACATCGTCAGTGTGTGTATGGAGGTTTAAGAATTGGATTATATGAGCCTGTGAGTTTTTGAATCTGATACTGAAATTTGTTTGCTTGTTTTAGTTTATATCTATGCTTTCTTGTGTTATCATGTGTTGTAAATAGCATGGGCTGTTTACAGGTTAAGTCTTTGTATGTGGGGAAGGACCATGTTGGAGATGTTCCATTGTCAAAGAAAATTCTTGCTGGATTCACAACTGGTAAATCTCAATGCTGCAAATTGTGGGAATAATTTGTAAAAGTGCTATTTTATATATGATTTACCATTTTAGTATGAACCTGTGTTATTCCTGTATAAATACTCATGATTATAACCCAATTATAAATGTTCATCACTATAACCCAATTATGAACTCCCACAAATTTTCCTGGAAACAGGTGCAGTGGCAATTGCAGTGGCAAATCCAACTGATCTTGTGAAAGTCAGACTTCAAGCAGAAGGAAAACTACCTCCTGGTGTTCCCAGGCGTTACTCTGGATCTTTAAATGCTTATTCAACAATTGTGAGACAGGTTTGTGCTTCCCCATATAAGTTATCAAAGAGAAAATGCATTTGGTTCATTTTACTTTGTGATTATTTCTAATCTAAATCAATATAACACACAGGAAGGAGTTGGGGCTCTTTGGACTGGTCTTGGTCCCAATATAGCAAGAAATGGTATCATCAATGCTGCGGAATTAGCCAGCTATGATCAAGTGAAACAGGTAATTTCTGTGTGACTGGAGGCTAGCACTATGGAGCAAAATTTTCTTCTTCATTTAGTTTGGAAATAACTATGTTTCTCTCTCTTATGCAGACCATTTTGAAAATTCCAGGATTCACTGATAATGTTGTAACTCATCTCCTCGCTGGTCTTGGGGCAGGGTTTTTTGCTGTCTGTATTGGCTCCCCAGTAGATGTGGTAATGTTTTAGAATCTAGAAATGAATATCTGTAATTGATTTTTTTTTTATTTGTTATTGCATCAACATTTTATACTGTGTAGTAGTTATTTCAATTTTATATGAATTTTGCATTTGATATTATATGTTCTACCGTGATGAACTGTGAATCCCTGGATGATTAGAACATGGTAGAAGTAGTAAACTTTTAAGGCTTATTTGGAATATGTTGACAGCTGGTCGTTTAAGGTCCATTTGTGGTGTATGTGAATAAAATTTATTTTTCAATTTTGTTGAGGTGACCAAGTGAGCTTCTTTCATGCATGTGTATGTTTATTGTTTGTTTTAATTTTGTTGTCCTGTTTTCATTCTATTCTGGCATTTGTGCAGGTTAAGTCCAGAATGATGGGAGATTCTAGTTACAAGAACACCCTTGATTGTTTTATCAAAACATTAAAGAATGATGTAAGTTGCTTTCCACAGTTTACTTTTCCACTTCTACTTATCTGACATATATTAAGTCATTCTCATTTCTTATACTAGCTTATATGCTCTCAAACCTCATTGATTTTGCTTTATTATAATGTAACAATATTTTCACCTTTCTATCTCTCTCCTTCTCTCTAGTACTTGGGGGTTATGATGCATGGATACACGTTGTATATATGATTGTAATTGTTTGAATTCAAACTGAAATCACATGTATTAAACATTCTCAAAAAAAAAATATTATAAATCATTGTCATGGAAAAAATATTAATTCTTTATAAATAGATGGCGAATTGATAAGTATCAGTAAAAGATCCTGAAATATCGGATATGGGTTTGTGTTGGATACATGTACATGACACAAATTGAAATCTCGTTAGATCATAATCATAGTTGGGAAGTATCTGGTGTTTTAGCCTTAAATATGGTCAAACAAGGAGTTGTATTATACATGTGTATCCTTCATAAAATCTGATATGGCTATGTAATCTGATGTTTTTTTCCAGGGACCACTGGCCTTCTATAAAGGTTTCCTTCCAAATTTTGGACGGCTAGGATCTTGGAATGTGATCATGTTTCTAACCTTAGAACAGGTATAACTTTCTTCCTAATTTTCTTTTCTAGAAGTGTTACTAACTGAGTTGAGCATGTTCTTACATGCACTCCCAAGATTCAGTTTATCTTCTAAGTTCCAACTGCTGAATTTGTGTATACTTTTGCTCACATATCTTTTTTCTGTGACAGACTAAAAATTTCGTCAAAAGCTTAGAGTCATCTTGAGCTGAGTTACCTACAATTTTCTGAGAGGGCTTGTCACAAATGCAAATGCAGTGAAAATTTTAGAAATAAAGCTCTCTTCATTCTGCAAACTGAAGGGATGTGGTAAAGCATTTTTTCAGGGAGAAATTTTTCTTTTTATTTTTGATAATAAGTGAGGATATGTTATTCATATATACTGATAACTTTTAGCTCTTTATGATATAATCTTAAGGATTTCATGAAGTTTCTTTTCAATCTTCTTTTAATCTATTATGAACATGATTGAACATGACATAACTTTTTGTTTCAAATTCGGTGGGGTTCAAGCCTCAGTTCCAATATTTCATCCATTGATAAACTTAAACACAATATAGCCCTTGATTGATCACTGTCATTTGTCTTAAATGGTGGCTTTTAATTGTTATAGTTAGTATCAAATTTTAACCAACTGATGCAGGATAATTTCTTTTTTGTTTGCAAAGGAAAAATATTACAGCACCACTAATAGCTGTATAAAAACTTTGAATTACTGCTGATTAGTGAAGTTTTTATTATTTACTATTAAGATTAAATATGGTTGGATTACGTCTTCAAATTATTTTCAAAAATTACGAATATTTATATTATAATGTAATGTGAAATTCTATTTGTTTCCTTTTGTAACATAATATTGTGAAAATAGTGTTTAAATGAGAAAATGTTTTACCTAATTTTCATAAATTACATGGATCAAATAAGTATATGTAATTTAGAGACGGAAGACATTTTTAAAATTTTTTGAAAATAATTTGAATTATATAAATTTAGCCCAGAGTGATTTTGGTCATTGATTTTGGATCTATACATATGATATACCAAGCAAGACATTCAAATTGAAAATAAAAATAAAAGCTAAAACAACTTTTGGACAATTTTAACCGATCGGAAATAAAAACTATTTTCTGAAAATAATAGCAATGAATAAAAATGGAAAACATTTCTGTAAATCAATGTCTACTCAACATTGACACATCGGATATCAGAAAGAGGAATCATTTTCTCTTTGTGTATCAAAATCAAAAGCTTCTAAAATTGAATGGTCCATTCTTCACTTCCGTGTAAACTATTCTTATTCTTATTCCTTTTAATTTATATAAAAAAGTAATTGATTTTATTTTACAGAATAACTTTGAAATAATATCCCTTGTACATAATTATAGTTATGTCACATTATTTAAGTCCTTAGTAAATATTTTAACACATATTTGGTTGATTAAGCTGTGAAAAATATTGTATGGATCACAAAATCTGATGAAGTATATAATTCATAATAATTGTATTCCGTGATAAACGGGTCTGAGTTTAAATCACTTAAATTACAAAAAGTCCCAGTACCAATAAAGGCCGGCACAGCAGTCGAATTATTCCATCTTGTTCCGTCACCAATTTACTTGTGAAAAATGAGTAGGGTCTGATATTGTGAATAACATTTGCGGGTCCACAAAAATTCAACTATTATAATTTTTTAATAATAGATTCATTAGATCTTATTTTTTCAAATTCAGTACATTAAGATATTTTTTGTTTGCTTTTTAAAATGGAAAATAAAAGTAAAAAAATTAAAATTATAGAAAAGTAATATCACAGTTAATTAAAAATATTGAGTTTGAATTTTAATTATTTTAAGTTAAATCATGTTTTTTTTGTTTTTTTAATAGAAAAATCTCAAATCAGGTTGTCTTCTTTTTATACATAGTAATTTGATTTTTATTTCGAAAAATTTAATACAATTAGTTTTTTTTATGTTAGTACTATACTAACAACCTTAAAAAATTGCTATGTGTCATTTTGTAATTTTTAAAATTTTTAATTTTTAAAAAAAAATAAAATTATGTCACCTATAAAATTGACATTGTGATACATGACAATATGATATGGAGTGACAATGTCATATGTTATTGTTGCATCATGTGACATTGTCTCAGTTTAATTTGATTCATTTATTTTTATTCTGTTTCAATTTAGTCACATTTTTTTAATCATTTCTTTCCAAATGAAACTAAATTTAACTTTTGTAAATGTTATACAAATATTTTTATTAAAATATTTTTATTAAAATTGATATTTTTATTAAATATTTTTAACAAAATTAAATTTATTTATATTTATATATCATTTTGAACTTTATTTAAAATTGTTTTCAAATTTCAAATTTATTTTCTTAAATTGCTATAAATTTTTTTAAACTTATTTTAAAATTTTACATTTAAATTTATAAAATTATTACTTTTAAACTAACTCAAAGATTTGTATAGAAATTATTTAAGAGAATTGAAAAAGTTGATAAATTTATTTTATCAACTTTGAGAATCAGTGACTCCATCTGCAGCTACTGCCTTTATGCCTTCAATGCATGTAGCTTCCTCAAGATTAGTAACTGCATCAATTGTATCATCTGCAACATGAAAATCAAAGTCAGCATGCATGGGCGAATCGTCAAATAATGCAGCTTTATCAAGATTGAAATCAGAATCACCTAGCATATTATCAATTAAATCATCAAGCAAATCACTAGTGAGAAATGCACTAAAGTTAGAACACCCATCAGTACGTGTATTTACATGATGGACACAAAAAATTTCATCCAACAATTTAGAGTTATGAGAAACATCAGGCACATAAGATAAAGCATGCAAATACTTTACAACAGTGCACATTTCAACTAATGGTAAGATTAAAGTCAGATTCAACTTGGACTGGTTCCTAAAAACAACCTCACCAATCTCAACAGATTCATCAACTACATAATTCAAGCTATCATAGAAAATGTACCGTATGGACCAATCGGCCAAGCAACAATCTCGAGACTCAACCAGCGTTTCTCCCATCTTATCCTTGACCGTATGGGAGGGTGGCCGTTCGCGTAGAAATTTACTTCACACGCTATCATCTGACCGACCGTTCAATACCGGACGACCTATAAGCCAAGTGGTTAAGGTAAAGGATTAAGGTAAATCAGGATTAGAGCTATTGGACTAGAGTTGGGTCGTGATTAACTTTCACTAATTCCAAGCCCATAGCAAAAAACTATAAATACAGGTGAGAGGTGAGTGGTAGCTAGGTTCCATTCACTGCACATTTATTACTGTTTCATCGAAATCGCCAACAATTTCCGTACTGACTTTGGCATCGGAGAATCTTTGACAGGTTTCCTTCGGACGGCAAGTGGACAAGAAGACAATTTGTGGAGGCCTTTGGTAACTTAGTCCCCAAACAACCGAAACAGTAAATATTGTCAAGATCAGGGTATAAATTGTGAACAACAATAGGGATGTCAAAGTAATCTATAGAAAATGTTGAATCAAGATAATGAGAATGAACATGTATATCAATAGCAGTGTCCATGATGGGTTCAATGGATTCAATTTTCAATAGATGAAAAGCATTAAAACCTATTTGAACCTTAGAGAATTCTATAGGAATACTATGTTCAAAATGAACATGCGTTCTCCATTCATAAACTACTTCATTAGGGTCATTTCCTATTAGCTTGCACGTCAACTTTCTTGCCTCAATTGGGGTCTTGTCCAGCAGAGAGCCTTCAACTGCTACGTCAACCAACACTTTGTCTTTGTAAAGTAGGCCCTCATAAAAGTATACTAGAAGCCTGGGCTCTAAAATCTTGTGGGTTGCGCAGGTTGTGCATATGTTGCTGAATCTTTCTTAGTATTCATCCAGACTCTCCTCTTGAAACTGCACAATGGAAGTAATTTCCCTTCTGATGATGGCTGCTTTGACAGATGGAAAGAATCTATTCAGAAATTTTTGTTGCGTCTCTGGCCAACTATCAAAAGGTTGTTGCTAGTAGACAAACCAATCTCTCGTTGTGCCTTGTAGAGACATTGAAAATGCCTTCATTTTCACTGTTTCCTCTATAATTTTGGTCGGCTTCATGGAGGAGCACACCCAGCTAAACTCCTTGATTTGCTTGTGTGGGTCTTCATGTGCTAGCCCATGAAACTTAGGCATTCTCTTTATTAGTTTGTATAGCCAGTCTCGAAAATTAGCCATCTCCTCAAGTCTGGTGGAAAACCTGTTTTGAACCTAGACTATACTTCAAGCAGAGATTATACCAAACACATAGAAGCATAACAAGGAGAAGAACCACTATTTACATATTTAAAAATTTTCAAAAACTAATGTTAAACACAAAAAAAAAAAGAAAAATAGAAACCTACAAGGCTAACTCTACAATTCTAAAACTTAAGTCGCCAAAGTCCCTGACAACGACGCCATTTGTTGAAAGAACTTTTTAGTCGCATTAAAAGCCAACAAAACCCAAGTTTCCCCACTAATGTAGAAAAAGGGAAAACCTCGGGTCTAATCGTGGACTTGGTACTTGTTAAGGCTAGAATTGTAGAATTAAGACCTAATTATTATCTACTAAGCTAGGTGGGGAAAAGAAAACTTAATGAAATCTAATGTATAAAACTAACTGTATAGTAGGGCCGGACGGATTGAAAGATAATGCATATCAAGAAGATCGGACAGTGTTGGAGAATCAAGAACAACTAAATAACGGATAAATGTTTCTAGATAAGACCGAATGACCCTATCAAGGTCGGACGACCTTAGTTGACAAATAAGCTTTCTCTACAAATATTAAGGTAAATGGTAATTAGGGGTAATGGGATGAGATTGGGCCAAGACTAAGGTTTCACTAATCTCAAGTCCATATAAAAAACTATAAGTACAGGTCAAAGGTAAGAGGTAGGTGATCGCATTTACTGTGCATTTAATACCATTGTTCCGAACACTATACGGACTATTTATTGACTTCAGCATTGGAGAACCTTTGGCATGTACCCCTCCGGACGGTTGAAGTGGAGACAAAGATAATAATGTAGTGTCCCAAACGACTTTGGAGGAGAAATTGTGAAGGTGTTAGAAGTTACTTGACCCCATACCCGAAACACTAACTAATAATGCATGTATCTACTAAAGCTAATGATTGAATGAAAGAAAAGAATTGAAATATGCAATGTGTAATTTCTATCCTAAATGGTATATTAGTGCTAATAACATAAACTAGGCTAATGGAAAATAATGTTTTTTCAAACCACTAATAGAATCTTAAACAAGCATCCTAATTAATCAATGCAATTAAGATAAAGGAACAAACTATAAAATGATATTCAAAACAAGAGACAGAGAGTTGCTATAGCAAATGGTAAAAATAGTAACACTAAAAAATATATAGAAAGTCTAAACCTAAT